TTTTTCTTCAACCGGCTTTCTCTTGTATAAATATAGCTGCTGCATCATGTAAATAATCAAGAAAATAATGCTTCTTCAATAGAGATAATTTTCTCTCATCTTCTCCTCTTCTCTCGGTTATTCTTGCTATCTGAAAATTATCATGGTATCAGAGCAGCTAGTGTTATCTAGCTGAAATTTTTCCGCAATACTCTTCTAACTGATCGTCTCCTTCTTCTGCAAGAACTGATCGTCTCCTTCTCCTGCAAGAACTGATCATTTTTTTAAAAATGAGTTCAGACAATTCTTCTGTGCATTCAGTCATAAATCCTTCAGACGACTCCTCAACTCCTTACTACCTTCATCCCAGCGATAATCCTGGTGCTATGCTGGTCTCAGAAATCTTTAATGGAAGTAATTACGTAGCCTGGAGCAGATCCATTGTTATAGCTTTGACAGTAAAGAATAAAGTCAAATTTATTGATGGATCAATCTCCCCTCCATCCAATGATCAAACGATGAATCACACAGCCTGGTTAAGAGCAAATAATCTGGTTCTTTCTTGGCTGATGAACTCAATTTCCAAAGACATACGCAATAGCCTTCTATTCATTACATCAGCCACTGAACTATGGAATGAGCTCAAAATCAGATATTTCAGAAGTGATGGTCCACGGGTATTTCATCTTGAAAAATCTCTAAGTTGCATAAGCCAAGGCTCCATGACTGTAACTGAATATTTTAATTCTTTCAAAACTCTATGGAACGAATATATCAGTTACAGACCTTTCCCAACTTGTACATGTGGAGTTATGACCACCTGCAGTTGTGATTTGTTCACATTCTTACAGAATAGACAGCAATCGGATTACGTTCTGAAGTTCTTAGTCGGTTTAAACGACTCTTTTACCTCTGTCAGAAGTCAGTTACTTCTCACTGTTCCATTGCCAAGTATGGCTAAGGTATTCTCTTTACTACTTCAAGAAGAAAGTCAGAGGATGCTAACCAACTCTGCTTCTCATATTGAGACACATGCCTTGATGGCAAAACGCAATGATCAGCAAAATTATCAGCCAAGATCGTTCGGAGACAGAGACAGATCCGAGGCACCCTCACCACTTTGCACTCATTGTGGTTATACTGGACACAGGATAGATACCTGTTATCAACTCCATGGTTATCCTCCTAACTGGATAGGGCCAAGAGGAAAGATGAATATATCTGGAAAACCCTCAGCATATGCTGCAGTCTCTCAAGAAAATACATATCAAACTGATAAAGAGCAGCAAAAATTGTCTTTCACTCCAGAGGAATTTCACAAACTCTTAGCACTTGCCAATTCAACATTAACTGACCCTTCCAGCACTCAACCAACTGTCAATTTCGCATCTACTTCTTACTTTTCTGGTAATATACAACCTGTAGCACATACTATGTGTTGCAGCCACATCTCATCTCCATTAAAATCGAAATATTCTTGGATTCTTGACACGGGTGCAACAGATCATATGATCTGTTCCCCCTCTCTATATTGTTCTACTCCTCAAACTATTAGCACTTTTGTATATCTTCCCAATGGTGTTAAGGTTCCAGCATCTCACAATGGCACCATCTGTCTTTTTAACTCTTTATTTCTGCACAACGTTTTATGCATTCCCTCCTTTTCATTCAATTTAATTTCTGTATCAAAACTCACCATTCAATCTAATGTGTGCCTAACTTTTACCAATTCATATTGCACCATGCAGGACCGACTAACGAAGAAGATGATTGGGACTGCAATTGAGATTAAAGGACTGTACCACATAATCCAAACCTCTTCAAAAACTCAGAACAGAAACCAGTTCAACTCAGCACCATTAGCATCAACAATCACTCAACAGAACCCTGATATATGGCACTACAGGTTGGGACATGTTTCTAACTCCAGGCTACCTCATCTCAAGAAAATTGAACCTTCTATTCCTCTTAATTGTACCAATATCTGTGATGTTTGCCCCTTGGCAAAACAAAGAAAACTTCCTTTTCNNGCAAAACAAAGAAAACTTCCTTTTCCTGTATCGAATCACAAATCAAATAAAAGATTTGAGTTAGTTCATTGTGACATTTGGGGACCATTTAGCACCATCTCTTATTCGAATTTCAAGTACTTTCTCACTATCGTTGATGATTACACAAGGTGCACATGGGTATATAAGATGCAAAACAAATCTGATGTTTCCCACTTGCTCAAAACATTCTGCAAAATGGTTGAAAATCATTTCTCTACATCTGTCAAAACCATACGGTCAGATAATGGACCTGAATTCTGCCTCACAAAATTCTATCATAAACTTGGCATAATACATCAAAAGAGCTGTATGGAAACTCCACAGCAAAATGGAATCGTGGAGAGAAAACACCAGCACCTTTTATGCACAGCCAGAGCATTATTATTCCAAGCCAATCTGCCTCTATCTTTTTGGAGTGATTCTATACTAACAGCAGCTCACATTATAAATAAAATTCCCACACCTCTTCTCCAGAATAAATCCCCTTTCGAAATGCTGTTTGATAAACCTCCAAAACTTTCCCATCTAAGAGTTTTTGGATGTCTTTGCTTTGCCTCCACTCTAGCACGCCATAGACAAAAATTTGATTCAAGAGCCACCAAATGCTTATTCCTTGGCTACCCATCTGATTCTAAAGGTTACAAAGTCATGGACATCAACACAAACAAAGTCTTTGTCTCAAGAAATGTTACATTTCATGAATTTACTTTCCCTTTCAAAAATATACCTACAACAACTGATCAAAACCTTTTCATGTTTCCTGTACCTGATCCTTTCCCAGATTTCTCCCCTCATCCAAAATTGACAAACAATGATTCATCATCATCCCCTACTATCTCAACTTCTACACATCATCACTCTACTGAGGTAGCAACTGATGTTGATCAAAATGTACTACCTCCTGCAGACCATCACCCAGTCAGAAAATCAGACAGAAATCACCAAACACCTGCCCATTTACAAGATTATTATTGTGGCACAGTCTCTTCAGCTCAAATGGCAGCCCAGGAATCAACTTCATATGGTTGCTCTTTAATGGCAGGTAATATCTCTCTTTCTTCTTCCAACTGTTCTCCTTCTACAGGCACTACTTATCCTATCCAACACTTCATCTCAACACAACGATTATCCACTTCACATAAAGCCTTTTTAGCTTCCATTTCATCTCCCCTAGAACCCAAAACTTTCAAACAACCATCAAAATTTCCTGAATGGCAAGCTGCAATGCAGAATGAAATTCATGTTCTGGAGTTAAACAAAAGCTGGGAATTAGTTACTTTCCCTCCAAACAAGAAGACCATTCGATGCAAATGGGTCTTTCGTATCAAACATAGGGCTGATGGGACCATTGAAAGACACAAAGCCCGGCTGGTGGCAAAGGGATACACCCAGCAGGAAGGACTAGATTTTTTTGATACATTCTCTCATGTTGCAAAGATTACTTCTATTCGCTTAATCCTGGCTGTTGCTGCTGTCAAAAACTGGCATTTACATCAACTAGATGTCAATAATGCCTTTCTCCATGGCGATTTACATGAAGAAGTATATATGGAAGTGCCTCCCGGAATGGTTATCTCAACTGGTCAGAATGCTTGCAAACTTTTAAAGAGCCTTTATGGATTAAAACAGGCTTCCAGACAATGGTTTGCTAAACTGTCCAGTGCCCTTCTCCATTTTGGCTTTACTCAAGGTCACTCTGATTCTTCTCTTTTCATCAAGAAATCTGATCGATCCTTTATTGCGTTATTGGTCTATGTCGATGATATACTCTTAGCCAGCAATGACATACTGGAAATACATCAGTTAAAAGCCTTCCTACATGACAAATTCACTATCAAAGATCTCGGTCAGCTCAAGTATTTCCTTGGTATAGAGGTAGCTAGATCTAAAAATGGTATCTCTCTTTGTCAAAGAAAGTATGTTCTTGACATCCTGGAAGAAACGGGTCTAACTGGTTCCAGGCCTATTGCTTTCCCCATGGAATCCAATTTAAAGCTTTCCTTTAATGACACCCCTTTATATGATGATCCATCTGGTTATCGCAGGCTTGTAGGTAAGTTTTTTTACCTAACTATCACAAGACCTGACTTAGCGTATTCTGTCCAGGTACTTAGCCAATTTCTTGCCTCCCCTGCTGTGAGTCATTTTCAAGCAGCAACCAGGGTTCTACGCTATTTAAAGGCCACGCCAGGGCAAGGACTCTTCTTTCCAGCTTTTTCAGACATTCATCTCAAGGCCTTCTCCGATAGTGATTGGGCAGGATGTATTGATACTCGAAGAAGCGTCACTGGTTTTGCCATTTTCTTTGGAAATTCCTTAATCTCGTGGAAATCAAAGAAACAAGTTACTATCAGTCGATCCTCAGCAGAAGCAGAATATCGAGCTCTCGCCACCACTACTTGTGAGATTCAATGGCTACTATATGCTCTAGACGATCTGAACATCAGCCATCCTCAACCTGCTTCCCTCTATACTGATAGCAAGTCTGCCATGTCTATTGCCACAAATCCGGTCCAGCATGAAAGAACAAAACACATCCAAATTGATTGTCATCTCGTTAGAGAAAAGTTACAGC